TTAAATTTACCTCATTTATTTGTAAAGAACAGCACATCACCTGTTCTGTTTGTTTGCTTTAAGAGAGATTTTTTTTCGCATTAAATACTCCTGGTAACACGTGACTCATTTTATACCATAATATTGTTTACATTAACCCACCTCTGTTCAGTTGAGCAAATTCAAGGATGATTTAATAAAATTAGACATCTTTCTCGCACTTTTCCAAACTTTTAAAATCTGGCTGAAGTCACTTCAGCCTTTCAAGTTCAAGGTATGACACAAAACTTTATACTACCTATCAAATAATACGTTTGTGTAGTGTCAGTCATCTGGCTTTGTACATTTAGAGCTTTGCAGAACAAAATACCAGCCTGTGAAAACCTGAAGCCACTGTGCATTAGGGGGTTGCTACAGAAAGGGGCATTTTAATGGAATAATTAGTCTGGTTTTCTGCTGTGGATGACGATTTCACTTGGAGCAGCCTGATCGATAGCAGAGGTAACCAGTAACTCCCTTCACAAATATTCCACATCTTGACAATCGTCCTCAAAAGACACTGGAGGAGATGTGGAGTCTATTTCCATTCAGATCCTAAGAACCCTGATTTGATTTTGCAATCACACCGTTTGCATTAGTTGCTGAAAAGACCTCCAAGGCTGTGTTTAATCATGGATACAACCACGCCTTGGCTGACCGGTTATGAAGATAATTATTCCTAAATAGTCCTTACAGCTGAAGACACCAAGATGGGAGAAGTGGAAGGCAGTGCCTAGCTTAGCTACCGGAATGACACGCAGTTTAAAAATAAATAAATTAAAATACTGTTGTGGTGCACAGGAATAACTAGTACTTGTGCGTGGCAAAGCCGGAGAGGTGCTGCCGGACCGTCCCCCCAGTGCCCCTTCCTGCGCTGCTCCCCTTGCACGGAGAGAGCAAAAGCCGCTTCCCGGCCGCCCGCATCTGCGCGGCGCAGGCAGCTCCCGGCGCTGCGCGGAAGCTGCGCTCGGGCTTATCACTAACCCTGCGCCGGTGCGAGGAAGGAGCGGAGCCTTCCAGTCCAGCGGGGACGAAGCTTCTCCCTTGGCATGACCCGCGTGGCTCCCGGCAGAGGCGGTGGCTGCGGTACACGGGCTCGCCCCTGCGCACCCGCGCTGCCCGCAGCGTTCCGCGGCTGTGGGGTGAACGGGAGCTCCGCGGCCCTGCGCGGAGCGGGTTTATTCGCCGGAAGGAGCGAAAAACCCCGGCGTGGGCCGTCGCGGCGTTGTAAGGCAATAGCGGAGATCCCCGAGGAGGAATCGCAGGGGTGGTAAGAAAGTTAAAAAAAAAAACCAAAAAAAAAACCACATAAAAAAATTAAAGGATTCCCCTCCCTGAAGAAGCGCGGAGGGGGCAGCTCCGGGAGCGCTGCGGCTGCCCTTGCATTTCTTTTTTCTTCCTTTTTATTTCTCGCCCACCCAGGGAGCGGAGGGGGAGCGGGAGCGGGCGGGGGATCCCGCAGGAGCTGCCGGGCGCTGCGCGGGGCTCAACCGGGGCTTTCCCGCCCTGCCCTACAGGCCCTCGGCAAGAAGCTGCGCGGCCGCGGAACCGGGA